CACACTACGGTCTCTACATTAAGGAACGACATGACAGGAAGTAATCTGGATAATCGGGGCTGTCCCATTATCCCAGGTTAATTTGCTGCAGTACTGATTACCCTTCCTTCTTCAAGCCAGACAGGACCCTAGAAGTTGAAATTGGCATCTTTTCATTTTCTGGAATTTCGGGCAGCTATTTAAATGAGGCTTGGAAAGATCTGATAATGCAAAATCTAAGTTTAAAAGTCATATTTCGATTTTGTATCTACACCAAAACCATAACTAGGAGTAGGTGCATAGACATACTAGTGCAAAACAAACTGGAGTTCAATCTCCAAATATTAGTGGTTATCTCTGAGTCCGTGGGGTTTGGGGTAAATGATTTTTCTGTAGTCTTTCATAGACTTTGCAATGTTTTAAGAGGTGGATTTTTTTCTCCCCGAGACAGAGTCTGGCCATGTAGTTCAGGTTGGTTTTGAACTCACTTTAAACATCAAGGTGGTCTCCAATTTGCAGCAATCTTTCTGCCTCAACCTCCAGAGTGCTGAGATTACCGGCATGCGCCATCATCCCCAGAGAAAAGTGGATTTTTCTATTCCGGAAAAAAAAAAAAAATCCTCGTGGTGTGTGTAGTCAAGCGTGTTTTCACAAAGATTCTTTCAAGACTGGATAGCTCAAACTGGAAAACATGCTTTAAGGGTGGAATCAAAGGCAAAGCAGAGCCGAAGCCTGAGAGACGGCGATCACAGCGGTCCCTACAGAGACACTTCGAGAACAGTTGGCTCCACTGACCAGAGTTACCGTTAGAACAGATGAGCGGCTGTGCGGACGTGTAGGTTTCCTCCTCCTTCTCTAATTTATAAAAACAGTGCAGCCCACAAGCGGCGCAAGGCTGGGCTCCCCAGGAAAACGCGTGCGCAGCCCGCGCTTCCCGCTGCATCCCAGGCAGCGGAGACCGGCTCGCGGTGCGGCCCAGGCCGGCTTCCGACAGAGATCTCCATGGCAGGGCCTCCCAGTGCAGGGACTGCAGCGTCCGCCCCGCGCCCGGCCTCTAGCAATTTGCATGGAAGGAAAGGGCGACTGGCTCACTCATTCCCAAGCTAAATGGGGATGGCTTTACCTAGGACTTGGGGAAAACTGCAGTAGTTCTAAACTTCCTCATTTAGGCCGGAGGTGGACAGAAGTACGGAGTGCACCAGGGTGTGCACGCCGGCGTCAGCAGTAAATGGGATTGCAGGTTTAGGCATGATTTGAGCGAAGACCCTTCTCTTCTTGTCTCATCATACCCAGACGCCGGTTGGTGTTAACGAGTTCAGAGCGCTTCTTCAGTTTTCTCTCATTGCAGTAAATGCCAAGCCTAAATAAAAGTTATGTTAAACCACTGTTTCCGCCCGGTTTCGAACCGGGGACCTTTCGCGTGTTAGGCGAACGTGATAACCACTACACTACGGAAACACACGTGTAATGCGTGCTAGTTAGTGTATTTCACTGAGAGGCGTGATGACGGCGCCTTGCGGGTGAGAACGGAGTTTCTGTCAACCCTGCAGCTCTTGTAGCTCTGCATTTGGTCTCTTCCAGGAAACACGACTCTCTTTCACTCTCTGTCCGCGATTATTCTAGCCCTGCAGTCCCCCGAGGTACCTCGGTCACTGTTTAGGACAAAACTATCAAGTCAACGGAAACATTTAGGAGTAAAATGCATGGGCTCGTCCGGGATTTGAACCCGGGACCTCTCGCACCCAAAGCGAGAATCATACCCCTAGACCAACGAGCCGTCCTCCCCTTTCACCTCTGTCTATCTCTGATCTGACTGGAAAACGGATCGCTGCTAGCGGTTGATCTCTCCCTGCAAGCTCCAAGCAGAAGGCGACTCCTCCGGCGCTCGGCGCTCCTGAGTCCCCTGGCACTCCTCCCTCCCAGAGCGCGGCCAGGGGCTGAGCTCGGGCCTGGGCGTTCCGCTAGGATGTCCGGGGAAGGGATGGAGGGTCTTTCATGGAATTTCGTGAAAATGTAGGAAGCAACACATACTTATTTGCAAAATGTTCAGAAAGTGTAGGTACCAGCAGGTTGGTGCGCAGCGCGGGGCCGCCTCTGCCTCCGCCTCGTTCCATCTGGAGTCGCCAGGGGCTTTCATTGCCCGGGAGTGTTTGGTGCTAGAAGACAGTAATTCAGCTCCCTGGGCGGGCATTAAATTCGCAATAATTCACTCAGAGGTGGGCCGTCGGTTTATTTCTGTGTCACCAGCACAAATTTCCTACACGTCTGGTTGTTACAAAGCTGTGTGGGTCACTTTTACAACTACCTGATGGCGACAGAAGGCTCCGAGAACACTCTGGGGAAAGGACAGTCTTCAATAAATGGTGAGAAGCAAACTGTAGCCGCTTGCAAAAGAATGAAACTAAGGCCGCTTCACCGGTTACAAAAATCAACTCCAAACGGTTTAAAGACTTAAATGTAATGCCTGAAATTGTGAAACTACTAGAAGAAAGCACAGGGAAAATGATTCGTGACATCAGCCTGGGCAACGACCTCAGAAGCACAAGAAACAAAAACAAAAATAAACTCATGGGATTACATCAAACTGAAAAGCTTCTGCACAGCAAAGGAAACCATCAACAAAGAAAGCCTGCAGAATGGGAAGATATTTTCAAACTGCATCTGACAATGGATTAATGTCCAGAATACGTAAAAAACTCAGCCATCTCAGTGGGAAAATCTCCAGTTAAAAAAAAAGCAAATAACAAACAACAAATACCATCAGAGAAATGCAAATCAAAACCACCATGTGTGTATGTTAAGGTCTGGAACTAAAATGTCCTCCCAAAGTCTCAGTTCAGAGGTGGGCCTGGTTGAAGGAGGCCTGTCACTGGGGACATGACTAGAAGGGTATAGGCCTGTCCCTGAGTCGCTCCCTCTTCCTCTCCCCGTCTCCCTTCTCCTTCTTCCTGGCTGGCATGGGTTGAGCAGCTTCCCCTCCACCAGGCCCTTCCACCATGCCTTTTCTACCTTGGAGCCAACTGACTATGGCTTAGTGACCCAAATTAGGCCTTTCCTCCTTTAACTTGTGGAGCCAGGTATTTTGTTCTAGTAGTAGATAACTGACTAATGCAACACATTTCTGAGTCATCACGTTGTAACCCATAAGTATATGTAGTTATTGCCAGTAGGTATAGTGGCGTTCACCTGTAATCCCTCTGGGAGGCAGAAGAAGGGTTGCAAGTTTGAGCCCAGCCTGGACAATTTAGCAACTTAGGGAGACCCTACCTCAAAATAAGTAAGAAGTATGACAGTCCTGGGTTTAATTTCCAATACCACAAGAAAGAAAAAAAAAAGAGTATGTACAGTTATTATGTGTCAGTAGAAAAATAAATATGTAGAAAAATAAATAAGACATTATGGGAGACACAGTGGTTAATCTGCTCTGAGGAAAACGTAGTAATTTTCCTGTTCCCACTTTTGCAGAGCTTGCCCAGGCCCTCTTGGCTGACCTCTGCATTTGCTCCTCCTTTCTCCTCCTCCTTTCTGACTCTTCAAAGTCCAGCTCTCCACCTACTGTGTCCTTCTGGGTTGGTTCTTAGTCTTCCTCTCTTCCCACCAGTGAACATCCCAAGCGAAACTGTAACCAGCTTCCTCCTGTGCTGGGATCTGCGTCTTTGCTTGGGAGTAACGAAGTTTGAGGCCCACAAAACAGCAAGCAGTACGTGTTTATTAGAAAGAATAAAAGGAAAAACTCGGCACTTGTCCAGGAGGACTCCCATAAGGCAGACCACACAGATGTTTAAGTCCGTTGGCCTTTTACACAGTTTTTGGTATAAGTGACTTTGACAAAATGCAAGGGTGCTCCTGGTAGGCCTTTGATGTCTGGCCAGAAGCTGTTTTGTTTGCATTTCACTTCCTCCAGGGCTTCTCCCATTTGTTTAGGGATCTGTTCTCTGTCCCTCGAATTCCACTAGACTCTGATGGTTCATTTAAGTTAATTATTTGGGCCCTTTATTTGTCAATACACTTAAGCCCTGACTTTTGGTTTAGGCAGGTTAACTTTTGAGGACTTGTGCCCTGTCTGCCTAAGGTCAGTTACCCCTTCCAATCTGTAAACCTCACCCCAACAGGGACATGAGCCTTGGAAACTTCCTCCTGGAGCCTCTACAGACCAGCCCTGAGAGACTTTTGTACTCAGCCTCCCTTTCTTGCGCACAGCTGTCACGCCCGTACCTGAGCCCGCCAGAATACAAGGCCTGCGCTCCATTCACTTGCTCGGCTCTTCTGGGGACCGCCTGCCCGCTCATCTCTGTCCCTGTCCCTGTCCCTCTGTCTCTCTCTCTGTCCTCTGTGTCTCTCTGTCTCTGTCTCTCTCTCTCTCTCTCTCTCTCACACACACACACACACACACACACACAGGCACGCAGCTAAACGCGCGTCCCGGCGAGCTGGGCTCCACAGTAAGGTCATCTTCCGCGGTGGGAGGCTGGGGCGGCGCTGCGCCTCCGGCCGGCTCCTCGGATCCCAGCCCCGCGCGGCGCCTAGGCGGAGCCTAGGCCGCGGTCGCTCAGGGAGAGCGCGCCCGGAGGAAGACTGCACACCGTGTGCGGGGTACAGTTGGTGCGCGACGGTCACGGCCTTCGCCCGCACTTCCTTGCGTGTGTGCTGCAGGTTCTAGACAGGAGCGGGCGGGACCACGCGGAGGCTGCGGGACCAGGCCGGGCACCCCGCCAGCCCTCACGGGGAAGGAGTGCCGAGTGTCACGGTCTCCGTCCCCGGAAGGACAAGGGTGTCCAGTCTAATAGAGAAAGGACAATAGTGAGACCCTGAAGTAGCTCACCCAAAGCGCAGCAAGGATCGGCAAGCCATAGAACAGCGCGAGGCAAAAGGGGCCGCTTGCTCACTTTCGGAAAAAGCAAAAGTTACAAGGCCCCAGCGAGATTTGAACTCGCGACCCCTGGTTTACAAGACCAGTGCTCTAACCCCTGAGCTATGGAGCCAGATGTGCTGAGCGCCCCTGAACTCGGGTAGTTCTCGCCACGATCGTTGCGCAGGCGCAGATCCGGAAGCCAGCCAACGTTGGGCAGAGCCGAACGCAGGCGGGCAGCTGGCAACAAATTCGGCGTCGGAAATTCAGCCGCCACACGTCCAGACACTGCCTAGGAAGAGAGCCCGCGCTCGGCTTCAGGGCAGATCTGAGCCTCAGGCTGAATGAGGTCGAGTTGAAGAGAGATCTAGTAAGCGGTTTCTTGTGCACAGGAGAGGGCTCTAGAGGGCAAAGCTACAGGCAGGACTGGGGGAACGGCGTCAAAAGGCCTGTCCTGCAGGAGATCCGGGTCAGCGCTGAGTGGTGGTGGACGTGACCAGGCTGAGAGGAAGTGGTGGGGGAATCAGAAGGTCGGGGTGTTTGGAGATGATCGTCCAAGGACATAGCCAAGGTCCAGAGTCCCCTAATCCCTGCCTGACTCGTGGGCCAATTAGGAAAAGACGATCCTTAGGGCACATCTTGACCCTCCCAGAGCTGGTCTGTCAGGGTCCCCAAGGGGCCCACCAGATACAGGACAAGGAAAAATTGAGGGCCTAGAGAGGGACAGGAAGTAAAATGGCCGGAGGAACCTGTGAAAGTGGCTGTAGATTCTAACCTTGGCCTGGTGGCCCAGCATGCCCTAACTGTCCCTAACAGTCCAAGTGACTTGAGTCACTGGGTGGCCAGGCCAGTGGTAGGCCTCTGAGTGCCCTTTAATCTGAATGCCTCTGAGGACCTGGTGGCAGTCCTGGGTTCTCCCAAATCTGGGACTAATGGGTGGGGTACGAAGGACCTGTTAGGCCAGTTATTGTTCTCAGATCTTATGATACCCAGAAGATGGAAGGAGGAAATGCACGCATTCTTACACTAGCACTGTGTCATCCAAGTTCTGAGACCTAGTTGTTCTTGTGTCCAAGAAAGAACATCTCTTCCTTCCCTTCTCTGTGTAATTGTTTCAATAACTGTGGTTACATTTCTTCCTGTATATAGATGCTTGATTTACTCTGCGAGCACACATTCTCTGATAAACACACAATCACCTTCACAAACACAAAAGCTGAAAATACACATGCAGACAGCTACTGCCACAGTCCCCGTTCCTGGCCTTTCAGGCATATATTGGCACCTCTCCCAGACATCCAGCTCTTCATGACCTGTAATGTTCTGTGATACGCAGCACAGTTAGTTGTTAAATGGCACAAAGGGAATTGTGCCTCAGCCTCCCAAATGCACGATTATAGGTGTACACTACCACGCCTAACTGGCTTGGTGTTACGGTTTCAATCTAAAATGGTCCCCCAATGCCACGTGTGGTGGTGCACACCTATAACCCCAGCACTAGGGAGGCTGAGGCAGGAGGACTGCCATGATTTCTAGGCCAGCCTGGTGTACATAGTGAGTTCAAGGCCAGCCTGAACTACACAGCAAAACCCTGTCTAAAAAAAAATAAAAAATAAAAACAACTAAAATGTCTCCCAAAAGTCTCACCTATTTAGAGGTTGAGTTTTTGGAAAGTGGTTGGACTGTGAGGTGCTATATTTATCAGTGGATTCCTGGCAGAACGTTCTGACAGTGGGTGGGAGCTGGTTGGAGGTGGGGCGTAGCAGTATGACCTGGAAGGGTAAATTCTGGTCCTTTGCTCCCCGCTTCTCTCTGCTTCCCGGCTGCCATAAATTGAGCAGTTTTTCACTAGGCACTTTCACCATATGGTTTCTGCCTTAAAGCCAGCCAAAAGTGGACTGAACCCATTGAAACTGAGCTGAAACAAACCACTCCTCCTTTAAATTGTGGTTGTCAAGTATTTTGTCCCAGTGATGGGAAAGTAACTAATGCAGTCAGTTACTATTTAATTACAAATCAATAGTATGGTATGACCAGTTGACTTAGATCTATTTGCAGCACTTAAACCCTATGCACCTACATATAAATGTCCTGTCTAAAATCCACATGCCCCTCACCCCAAATGCGCAGGTACAAATACATGCACTCATATTTCTCACATACAAGAACACAGATGCAGATGCTCAGGCATTATTAGTAGAAACCCTTGCTCAGACTTGTCCTTTTGTAATCAGAACAGAGATGAGAACAAGTCAAGACATCTGTAAAGATAAGCTCACAATCTGTATTTCCATCTCCCCGTGTCCTTTCCCAGGCAAGCAATAAGCAGGGTACAACCCACCACTACCTTCTCAAAAGCCCAGGCATCCAAAAGTTGGGAAACATTGGCCAGGAAGATAATAAAGTTGGCCAGCTGAACACTCTCCTGGGCACAGGCTAAGGAGGCCCTGGTACTAGGAAACTCTACTGTTAGCATGCATTTGGCAAGTTCCAAAAAATATGTTGGGAGCGCATTCAGGTTCTATGGATTTCTCTGCCAGTGCTAGTTGCATGTTTAAAGTTATCTGTGTCAACATGTGTTTCAAAATTCTAGAACCTATGATCTCCTCACCCTAAGGAGACCACACCTGATGCTGGAAAATAGGTTAGGTATCTGAGAACATACATTGGTTGCACTTTCCTCTCATGTTTGGGTCAAGGGTCTACTTCCAGTTCTAACCAGACTGAACTCTGAGCTGGGAGGACAATGTGCTTTCCTTAGTAGGTGGTCAGGTGTAAGGCCAGCTGGAACCAGATGGCTCATGACCTATCAAGGCAGAGGCGGCAAGAAGACAAATTGAATGAACATGACTGGTCCCTTGTATCAGGACCACAGAATGGCACTGTTCCATGGAACCAGAGGCCTTTCTAAATCAGGGCAGTAAGTTTCATATAATAGGAAGCACCCATGCCAACAACCAGGATTTTGTCCTTATCCACATCTTCACAATTAAGGCCATATTTACATGCCCATCAATAGGGAGGGAACAGGCCCCAAAGGACCAAGGCATCTCTTCTCCTATTCAGTTGATCACAGAGGCCTTTACCTCAATCAACTCGCCATGCTCCCCATGTTGTGCTCTGTAGGGCAGCCTGGAGCAGGAGTGTGGAGAGCAGACCAAGACTGAGATTAGACTCCCAAACTGTTGGGAGGAGGAGAGGACTTCACACACAACTGATGCACCCTCCTCCTGGGAGGTGGTCCTCCCTCAAGGCCAGATTCGCAAGTAGGTGCCAGTGGAACAGACAGAGAAAAGGGGGAACACACGCTCCTGGAAGTTGACTCGGAAGGTGTAGAGGTGGCGCATGTCCTCCACAGCATAGAAGGACACAGCCCCCACCTCCAGGTCCAGGGCCACTCGCACACGTGACAGGTGCCCACAGCTGAGGGGCGTCCGCTCAGGGCTGGTGACAGCCCAGTACTGCCCATTGTTGAGCTGAAGTGCCCAGACACCTTCCTCTGGGGTGAAGGGCGTGAGACCCTTGCGGCGCACACTCTCACGGGCCACACCAAAGGCCCAGCCATCCTTGGAGCCCACTTCCACCTCCCAGTGGTGACGCCCAGAGGAGAAACCACAAGATGCCAGGACACGAGTGTTGGTATCAAATCGGTGAGGGTGACTGGGCAGGTCCTGAGCCCGATGTCCAAGGCGCACACTCTTAAGATCCAAAGAGAGGATGAGGCGAGGGTTGGCTGTGTCGGGATCCAAGGTGAGCTCCACTGTAGGGTGGAACAAAGTAAAGATGTCCTCATGAAAGTTCTTTCCACAGCCCCTCTCCTCTCAGGGCCACACTCCCTCCCTTTCTTGCAAATCTCTCTTCCCTTCCCAGAAGATTCTTTCCAGTGCCAAGGACCAATCAACCCTCCACCCTCTGCCTTACAGGTATTTTGCTGCCCCACACTCCCACTAAACAAGTGCTTTCTGTCAATGTGTGAGTCTGATCTCTGTGAGTGTAGTACAAGCAGATCAACGTATCCAGTTTCAAAGATAATTGGGAAATTTTGAACATTAGATATTAAAATCATTACATATTAAAATCATTTTCTAGGTGTGATGATGGTTTTGTAGTTATGTTTTATAAGCCTTACCTCTTTAGAGATAACATATTCAGATTTGTATGGAAATACTTATGATCTGCTTTAAAATAATTCAGTGGGAAGCAGGTACAGTGCCTGAAAAATATTACCCATAAACTGATAGTTGCTGTATATGATAACTATCCATTTGTTATACTCTTCCAAGTATGTTTCAAAATCTCCATAATAAAAAGTTAAAATATGTACCCTTGTGAGCAAGAGTATTTTCCAGACACTGTTCTGGGCCTTAGAAATACCACAGAGAGCAAAACACTTGAGTATCCCTACTCTCCTGATGCTACCTTTGTAGCAGAGGAAGAGAGGCAATAAATGATAAATAGCAGATAAGCGGGATCAGAAGAGCAGACTGTAACTTCAATTACCATGGCCAAGGAAAGCCTCACTAGAAAGGTGTGTTTAAGCAGAAACACAAAGGAGATGAGTAATTCAGTCAGGCAGCTGTTCAGGGAAGCATGTTCCAGGCTGAGGTGCAAGTACCCTGGGTTCATGCTTGATGCATTCTAGCAGCAGCAAGGACAGTAAGTGGCTGCAGAGTGAGCTGGAGGAGAGTGCAGGGAGCCCATATCCTCTGGGGCCTTGAAGGCCATTGTGAGGACTATGATGTTTACTGAATGGATGGGAACGGGTCATTACAGGACGGTGAGGCAGAGAAGAAACATGGTTTCAACTAAATTAGGTTAGATCTTACCCATGTGTACTCTGACTTAGCTCAGTCTTCTTCAAGTGCTACGTGCCCTTCCTTCTTGCCCTTGGAGTATGTGTTATAGTTGTATATACACTCTCTAGAGCTCTCAGGAATAATAGCCATCTTTCTTCCTGACCAGCACCTTGCCTGCTTCCCTGTTCCCCTGCACACAACCTCCATACTCAGGAGAGGTTTCCATCTATCTTAATGTTGAGACAGAGGAGAAAGGCTCAGCTAGGTGACAGACAGGGCTTCCCTAATCTAAGTAACCTGGGGCCACAACAGCCCCCCAACTCCTGACCAACCTGTAGCTTAGAGATCAACAGGCATTACCAACACCTGAGAGTGTCAAAGCTGCCAAGGTAAGGAGTAGGAAGAGATTTAGAGTAGGAAAACTATTGAGGCAGGTTGGCAGAGGGAACCAACAGTGTGCAAAGCCCAGAGACAGTCAAAAATAGGGGGTGAGTTCTCTACTGTACTCACTACTAATCGCCATCCATACCTTTCTCCTCTTTCTCCATCTCCCCTTGAAGATCCTCTGAAGAGGAGAAACAAAGCAGAGTATGCATGAATGATATAGGAGATTATCTGGTAAGAACAGCCACTGACTCACTCATTCCCTAGGTACTCTAAAGGCAAGCGTTGGTGTGGAGGCACAGGGCCAAGCATGGAGGCTGAGAATGGACAGGGGACAGACTCCTGAGTATTTTGCTCTCCCTCTTCCCACCTCCCCTGGTTTTGCCCAGATCTAGTCTGAACTGAGCTCTCCCTCCTCCACTCCTGTCCCCAATACCCCTCCACCCTGTATAACCCCATGGAAAGCTGCATTCCCTGGCGGAACCTACAAATAGATTTGCTACTACTGCCTTTCTATACCAACCTGGCCTTGGCATGCCCTAGTTCCTGTTTCTTCACATAGGTTCTGGGACAGCACACCCCCAGAGCCCCTGAACTTCCAGAAACATACAACTATAACACATACTGCATGAATCAGCCCATATGTGGGCCCTTACCTTTGAACTTCTTCAGCAGCCCTTTTAAGACAAAGGTCTTGAGAGAAATATTCCAGACTTTATTCTTCATCACAGAGGAGACTGTGGTTGGCTTAGGGGCAGGCACATTGCTGCAACTGCAGGATAGAGACCCTTAGAAAGGCACAAGAATACCACTCCCCTACCACTGGGCTGTGACAATTGCAATAGTGCTACGGTTGGAATAAGTGTCCCTCAAAGGCCCATGTGTTAAAGGCCTGGCTGCCAGCCCATGGTGCTATGGGGATGTGGCAGAACCCTTAGGAGATGGGACCCAGTGGGAAGAAGTAAGGTCACTGGCAGCATGTCCTTGGAGGGAATATTAGGGCTCTGGTCCCTCCTCTCTTCTTTTTTGTTTCCCAGCCACTTCTACCACCATACATTCTCAAAGTATGTTACCTGGCCACCAGCTCAAAAACAATAAGGCCAAGCAACCACGAACTGAAACCTCTGAAATCATGAGCCCAACTTCTTTTAAGTTGATTATCTTAGATTATTTTGACAAATTATGTAAAGCTAACTAACACAGATGGTGAGATCCTCCCAGAAGAGGTGGAAAAAAAGGCTGGGGAAGTCAGACTTTGTTCAGAAAATACCCATATCCAGGCAAGTGAGCAGTTGCCTCAGAAGGTACTCAGATAAATATGTTGGGGTTGGGGGATCAGGAGGTGAGAGACAGAGAAGGAGGTAAAAAAGAGAGCACAGTAGAAAGGGAGAGCCAGGGTAGAAAGACCCAAGGAACTCTTAGCTTCACTCACTTGTTTAGTGCATTCTTGAATTCCTAGAAGGAAAAATGGAAGAAAACCAAGTCATCACCCCCATTCATCTCTGAGAAAAGAAAACTCGCCCCTTTCCCTGTCTTCAAGAAAATAAGCAATGGGTAAGCAATAAGTAAGTATACAATGCCCACCACCTGCATGAAGGGCCTACCAAGTGACAACAGCATCCAGCATGGCTGGCTGCAGGTTGATCCCTCAAACCTTTATTTCAGCTCTGAGAAAATTTTATTCACTACAGAATCACAATTGGAGCCATCTGGTGGTACTCAGTGTTTGTCTCTGCTCTTGTAACAACCTGAAACAAGTCACAGAACTTATGCAATGACGGGTCACTTGGACACGTGTCATTTTCCCCCCAGTACTGAGGATTGAATTTTGTATACTGCACATGTTAGGCAAGTACTCTAACATTAAGTTATACCCTAGTCCTTTTTATTCTTTATTTTTAGACAGGGTCTTGCAAAATTACCCTAACTAGCCTCAAACTCTCTCCACCATCTTGCCTTAAACCCCTATCTGCACCCAGCTAAGTGACTGTTCTTGACCTATTTGCAGTTTATAAAGTTTACCTAGTGGGTTATAACTCTTTTTTAAAAAATAGAATTTAAATCATCCAAGTGCATTACAGACAGCAACAGTAATATTTTCTGAGGCTTTTGTCTCAAGTGTGTGTAAACAAAATACAATGTAAGATATATTACTGTGGCTCACAGTCAAGAAAGTTTTAAGGGGCTGGGAATGTAGCCTGCTGGTATAGCATTTGCATAGCATGTACAAGGCGCTAGGTTCGATCCCTAGCACCACATAAAAAGAACGAGAGTTTTTACACATCCTTTTTGACTTCCAACTCCAGGAGAATCAGGGTGCCTCTCTCTGCTCCTCTTTAGCTCCAGATAATATGACCATACTAATTCTCAGGATCTTACTATTCTCTAGCTGCCATTCCTGGTGCTTTAGAGTAAATAACACATTGGGATGACTGACTCAGTGAAAGCCCTGAGCTAGACTCACCTGAAGGAAGTCAAGGTCAGGTTTTTGAGCTGTCTCCTGGATCTGGCTACAGAGCTTGGAAAGCTGAGTGACCTGGCCTCCCAGGTGGACCAGATTCTCATTTTGCTTCTGGGTCACTTCCCGGGATAGCTCCTCCAGGCGGCCCAGGAGCCGGCCTTCCTGCTCCACCAGGAAGGCCCGAAGTGTCTGGAACTCTGCCCTGACCTTCTCTCTCTCTGCTGCCATCTGCTTCTGTCCCAAGAGAAAGAGGAGAAGTTGGAGAGGTGAGGGGAACTGAGCATCAAGACATACAATTTGGATAGTAGCCTCTGAGTTGTTCCACAGGACAGGGCTCCATCCTCCTTACTGCTTCAGGGACAAGAGGCTCATCCACCTATGCATGCTTTATCTTCCTCTGCTACAGACAGGGCAGGGTCTCTTTGGGCTTGAGCTGTAGCACTTAAACTAGAGCAATTGTACACTTCCCTAGAACTACCTCAAGTTGTAGTTGCCTGATCTGAAAACTGAGCAGGATAAATTAGTGCCTCCTGGGGCACTAAACTTAAGCTGCTTTTTGTCTTTGCCAAAACATTTATTTTGTCACCCTTACATGTCACTATTCATTTTACTTCTTTTTAATGAGCACGTATAGCAACTATCTTGGTAATGCATTTTCAAAATACAAAACTGGATACAAAGCAAGAGTGAAGGAATGAAAAATATGAAGCAGGAATGAAGGAATTAAAACATGATACCAGCAGCCAGAGGTAAAAGACCACCCATGAGACTTAACTGAGAATATGCTATGTGAAACTGGATATTCTTTTCTTTTCTCTGACATAATACACACAATTTTTCACTCCTATGTTTCTAGATACAGACTCCTCTTCTGATCTCCTGATTATTTTAATGGAGAAACATGTGGCACTCTTCCTGATTATGAGCATGACCTCTCAAAGACAATGAGACAATGAGAAAAGACAAATGAGAAAAATGTCAAAGACAATGAGAAAAATGTTGTCCCACCAGGACAAGCTCAACCGTCAAGAGTTGCTTTCACCTGAAAACTCTACAGAAGCGAAAGAGATGGCTGGAGGAGTAGATCTCAGGGTTGGGGCCATAGTATTGAGGTCAGGACACTGGATATAGATCTTGGTTCCCCACACTTCCCACAATGCCCTACCTTACCTGCATCATCAGACACAGGGCAAACAGCAGCTGCACAGAGCACTTTGTAGGTATTAATTCCCTCATCCTGAGACCCCAGCAAAGGGGTTACACTTCTCATCCTGCTTTACAGGTGACAGGACAGAGCAAAGGGACCCATCAACAGTAAGTAATAAGCCAGGATTCTAACCCAGGAAATCTGACCCCAGAGACTGAACTTTTGACAACTATGTCACCTCCCACAGAAAAAACACAAGTGACCATGTTTACCAAAATCTCTTGGGTTTGAATATGCCCCCCAGATTCATGTTGGAAAACTTAATGTACAAATTCATATGTTAGTGGTATTTGGAAGTGGGACCTTCCTTTGGGAGGTAATGAGGATTAGATCAGGGTGGGAGCCTACCTGACAGCATTAACAGCTTTATAAAAAGAAGCCAGGTATAGTGGTGCAGTGGTGGTGGGTAGCCCTACATTGTCCCATACACAGCTCACCAGTAGCTCCTTGCTCTCCTTCTCTTCCGTAGACTGGAACACCTCATAGTCCTCCAGATCTTTCTTCAAGACCTTCAACTTGGAATCCAAGTGCTCCTGCAAGTAAAAGGGAGAGGATTAGAACACCCCCATCCCCACATGGGTCTTCCTAGAGCCATGCCCAAGAAAGGGAAGGCTCTGCTCCTGCAAGAGGAAGCTGGGTAGAATTCATCTCTGGATGTTGAAATAAATATAGTCTGTTTGAGATACATTTAGTACAACAGGGCAAACACAGGGTGATGCAAAGGCCTCAAAGTCTCAGTTCCCCAAAAGCATCGGCCAGCAGAGATAGGCTGAAACATACGACCTCCACAGCCCAACCATCTTGTCCTCTGTCTGTCCTCCTCTGCACCAGCAGAAATCCCTTAGGTGGAAGGACTGGGACAAGGCAGGGGAACAAAGAAAGACTGTGTGCCAGAGGTCTTTGGGCACCTCTGGTGATGTCACACACCCCCAGCAAGAAAACAGTGCCGGGGGGGGGGGGGTGTGTGTGTGTCCAAAATCCACCGCTCGTCATAGCCCAGAGGTCTCTCAGCATTCCACCTAACCTAGAGACTACACAGCTCTCTCCTCAACCCCGTTGGTGTTGGGACTCGTTGGTTTCTCGGTGGTCCCAGGGAGAAAACAGCGAGGGGATTTAGAAAATAAAGACAAGAAACAAGATTGGGATCAAGTGGAGACCTCTTTACCCGATGGGGAAAGAGGACTGAACAAAAACAATAGGGACATTTATTTATACTTTTGCAAGGTTAGTATCACCAGACACAAGGTTGCCTAGAGACTAATGACTGAAATTGTCTAGGCAGGATGTTTTTCTCAAGACTAAGGCAGCTCCACTGCTTTAGGCACTGTGGCCTTGTCTTGCCCCCACACGTGACCAACTTCCGGCTTCAGTGGCTCCCAACACCTTGGAAAGTGGTCCTGCTAAGCCCCAAGAAGTGGAGACTGAGGGCAGCCATGCTCAGGGAAAGGGAGAAGAGTGGGGACTGCGGGCATGTGAGCGTGACGCTGACTTTGCTGGGGCAAAGAGATACAGTTACGCTTGGCTTAGAGAGTGGGAACAGACTGGAAGAAAGTGGCCAAGTCCCTGGGGTCATCTCGCAGGCCGAGCAGTATAGGTTTTACAGGGTAAAGTATTGTGTGGGGGTTAAAATGAGGGATGACGGGAACCGCTCTCAGCCTGAGAACCAGTGCGGGGCAATACAGGAGAGGAGAAAGGAGGCAAGGGTTCACGGGGTCTCTTGCCCGCCTGTTTCTTTCAAAGTAGGAGGGCTGTACCAGAGCCGAGGGGCCTGCGAGTGCTGGACGGGAACCCGCGCTCACCTTGGCCTCCTGCACCGCCTCATCCAGTGGCAGCACGGCATGCGCGCGGTGCTCGCGGGCACGGTCGCACACCACACAGATGGCGTGTCCGTCATCTTGGCAGTAGAGCTTGAGCGGCTCCGCGTGCAGTGGACAGTGGACAGCAGCGGTCGCGGCCTCCGGAGGGGCGTGCTGCCCCAGCGCGGCCGCGGGCAGGCTGAAGCGCCGAAGCAGCGTGGCCACGGCGGCCAGCGGCCGGTTAGGGCGCAGCTGGCTGGGGCGCGCGGGCTCGCGGCACTGAGGGCAGGGCAGCGGGCAGGGCGGCGCGCGGGTGGCAGCCGAGGGCCCCGCGCCCGGGGGCTCCCAGCAGCGCGCTATGCAGCTGCGGCAGAAGCTGTGGCCGCACTCCGCGGACACCGGTTCTCGGAAGAGCTCCAGGCAGATGGAGCACGTCGCCTCGCCCTGCAGCTCCGCGGCCAGCGCCAGCGCCTCGGCCCCCGCGCGCGCGCCGGTCCGAGGCCCCACTGCCGCCATGGGTGCCCTCGGGCTGCGCTTGGCTCCAAGCAGGAACAGCGGGGCGGGCGGAGACCGAGCTCCCGGCTGCAGGCGCGGGCAAAGCGCCCTGGACGCCCGGTCTTCTACCGGCCGCTCAGATTCGGCCCTGCTCCCACGCCTCCGCGTCTGGCGTGCAGCAGACGCCACTCCGTAGCCCTTCTCCCTCGACCTTTCTGGGCGCCCAGCTGACAGGTCAGCAGCGGGAAGCGGCCGGGGCAGGCAGGCGCACAAACCGGCTGGGCACCGCTCCCCACTGCCCGCCTAGGCCGACGGGCACTACCTGGCAAGGGCCTGGCGCCAGGCGTCAACGCCAGGCTCCTGAGCTCTAGATCGCTCTGGCCCTGCGCTGAGCTAAACTTAGGGTCTGGAACCCGGCCCTGGCCTCCGGTTCCCAAGCTTGGCCTGATATCCACTTCTGTAACTATTTCCTACAGCTGTTTTCCTCTTTCCTCTTTCTTTAATTTTTTTAAAACTTTATTTTAAAGAGGAAAAAGAATCAAAACAATAGAAGAGCAACAATGGTTAATACATTGTGTATTGTTATCTTTAAAGTAGTTACTCAGAGTACAAGGTATTAATTGTCCAAACGATATTAGCACAAACCTTTCTTTTCAATGAACTAAGAGAAATTAGTAGTATAACTATCTTAACTAATACATATATATATATATAATTTCCCCTTCTTTTCTCCTTTTCTCCATCCCAGTTTCTCTTTTCTTTTGAAGTTTCTTCCCGTTTCACAGTATCTGTTGTACATTTTGGATCTTATTTACTCTTTCAGGTTCTCACGCTAGGCAGAAAATACAATGTTTACACATGTGAGTCTGATTTATTTCACTTATGAGTGTGGTCTCAAAGTGCATCCATTTACTTATAAAAGTCTCCAGTTTATCCTTCTTTATGTCTGAGTAGTACTCCATTGTATAAATATACTACATCTTTTTTTTTATCTATTCTTTGGTTGATGGGCATTTGGGTTGTTTCCAAAATTTAGCTATTACAAATTGTGCTGCTATAAACATGGGTGCACATATATTGCTGTGGGTATGATGTTTTTAATTCTTCTGGGAAGATACCCTGAAGGAGAATAGCTGGATCAAATGGGACCTCTATTCCTAGGTTGGTTTTTTTTTTTTTGTCTTGGAAATTGAACTCACTACCTCCAGCTTGCAAGACAGGCACCTTACCATTGAGCTGTATCCCTGGCCTGTAGTCCTAGTTAGTTTTTTGAGGAACCTCACACTGATTTCTACAGTGGTTGCACCAGTCTACACTCCCAACAGTGGAGAAGGGTTCCTTTTTCCCCAGAGCCCCTCCAGCATTTGTTATTGGTTGATTTCTTGATGATAGCCATTCTTTCTGGGGTGAGATGGAATCTCAGTGTTGTTTTAATTTTCATTTCTCAAATGACCAATGATGTTGAACACTTCTTCATATATTTATTTGCCATTTCTGCTGCTTTACCTGAGAAGTATCTGTTTATTTCAGATGCCCTTTTTCTGCTTGGGCTTTCAAATTTGGGAGATCTGTTTTTATTTTTGTTTTTTAGTTCTTTATATGTTCTCGATAGTAGTCCTTTGTCTGAGGTACAGTTGACAAACATTTTTTCTCACATTGTGGGTTGTCTCTTCACTCTGTTGGTGGTTTCTCTGCCTTTGCAAAAGCTTTTTAATAAGATGAGATCCCAGTTCTTGATTCTTAGTTCCTAGGTGACTGGGGTTTTATTTATAAAGTCTTTGCCTACACCAATGTCTTCAAGAGTTTTGCCTATTGTATCTTCCAGCAGATTTAATGTTTCTGTTTTAATATTTAGATCTTTGATCCATTTAGAATTTAGTTTAGTGCATGGTGAAAGATATGAGTTTAATTTTAATCTTCAGCATGTGCAGAGCCAGTTTTTCCAGCACCATTTATTAAAGAGGCTATCTTTTTCCAGTAAACATGTTTGGCACCTGTGTCGAAGAAAGGTGGCTGAGTATGTCTGGAGTTCTTTCTGCATCTTCTAATCTGTTCCACTGATCCTTGAGTCTCTTTTTTGCCAGTACCCTGCTGTTTTTATCACAGTAGCTTTTACAGTATAATTTCAAGTCAGGGACTGTGATGCCCCTGCCTTGCCTTTGTTGCTCAGAATTACATTTGCTATTCTAGGTCTCTTTTGGTTCCAAATGAATTTCAGGATTTTTTTCCTAAATCTGTGAGATACGTTTTTAGAATTTGGTTGGAGTTGCATTAAGTCTGTGTAACAGTTTTGGAACTATGGCCATTTTCACTATACTGGTTTTTCCTAACCAATGGATATCTTTCCATTTTTTCTTTAATTTTTGAAGAAGTAATATATTTAATCAACTTTCTCACTTCATAAGTAGTATTCCTCTCCTCTCACACCCAACCCTCTCTTGTGCCTCTAGGTAGTCCATACGCTCTTGTCCTTGCTCATGCTGGAGGTCTTTGGGCTCAAGCTTACTGTCCTACCTTACTAGTGACCCCTGGGATTCTAAACCAAAGGTGCAGACCTCACCTTGCTCCTCCTCCAATGCTCCCTCTTCCCTGACAACTTCTTCTCAGCCCTCTTGGACACTACATTCCTCTGACTTTTCTTCCACGTCTGTGGCCTCCTACTTTTTAGCCTTGTTGTATTTTCCTTTTCCTCTCTCTGCCCTTGTTCAGTCCTTGGGCGTCTGTCTACACATACTCTTTTGTTATGTCTTCCACTTTCTTCGCTTAAAAGGCCCTCCTCTCACTGATGACTCCACAATACTCAGTAAAGGTCATGATCCTTACAATAAACTAAAGGTCCTCTCCATTCTTTGCCCCCGTTTTCCACATCTGCATTTCTCTTTTCTCACTCTTATTCCTCTCTCTTGTTAACTGCATCCCAGCCACCTGGATCTCCTTGATATTCCTATACTACATCAGAAAGACTCCTACCTCATGGCCTTGGCACTGGTTGCTCCCTTTGCCCTATCTTCTCCCAGGTACCTGTGCAGCTCACTCTCTACCTCTTTCCAATCTTGTTTCAGTTGTCACCTTATCCATGAAACCTACACCAACCACATACACTGTTTACTTACCAACTTCCCACAATGAATGTAATCATTATATGTGTGAAGGGGTACTAATAAAAATTACTCATGTACTAATAAAAATTAAAATTAAAGAAAACAAATGTCTCTTAACAAGTTCCCTGCCAGGTGTGGCGCTACACACCTATAATCCCAACATCTGGGGAGGCTGAAGCAGGAGGATCACTGTGGCTGGAGGCCAGCCTAAGCTACAAAGTGAATTCAAGGCCAGCCTGAACTGCATCGAGAGACCTTGTCTCAAAGAACCAAAAAGTAAAACAAAACAAAAACCACATAAACAAAACAAAACCCCCACAAGCTCCCTTCCTCATTGCTGGCTTTTTTTCCTAGCACTCCATCTCCTCGAGAATGTGAGTCTTAAGCAGGATGGACTGTGTTCTTTGTCCACTGCTAAATGCCCAGTTTTCAGAGCAGTTGTTAGCACATTCAGTAAACACTTTCTTGGATTGAACAGATTAAGCCTCGTTCAAAACTCAGGGGATAAATTGTGGTGCGTTTCCCCAACCCCTGTGCCCCACATTCTTTATCTCAAGCAATTATTTGTACTATTCTAGGTTACCTTATTTAAATATTCTGTATTTTACAACCCTTTTAAAAAATAAACTTATCATTCTGCACACAATCTTCCTTACTTCCCTTTCTCAAGTCAGAGCTCATTTTGGACCTGGTGCCTAAACATTTCCTACCCTTTTGCCGCAGCTGTGTCCTGGTTGTTATAGAGGCTCCCTTTGAATTTTGGGCCCGCTTGGTGAGGATTTGGCTGCTGTAGCGTAAGTGGAGGAATTTAGAGCAGCTGGCTCCTCTTTGGTTTTGTCTGCTAGTCATCGGATACCGGCTCTTAAAAATCTGCACCTAGTACTATAGTGCCTTAGAGGACGACGAGAAAGGAACCACTTCTGGTATGTGGGGATGTAGCTCAGTGGTAGAGCGCATGCTTTGCATGTATGAGGCCCCGGGTTCGATCCCCGGCATCTCCAGTTCTTTTTCATGTTGCTTCTTTTGTTTGGATAAACACAGTGCTGGTCGAGTGCTGAGAAAACACCGGAGAGAGCAGTCCGCTCAGGGTAGAAAGGGTACACGGGAGCTCCCTACTTTCCTCCAAGTCCCAGGCACTACTTTTCTCTCCTGATCGAAGATCGAAGACCAAACAGCGCCAGCGTTCCACTGACATCTTGATGCCTATGTGTCTGCTTCACTGCGCGCGTAGGTCAGGTCGCTGCTGGAAAAGAATAAACAGAAAAAGGGTGAACTGGGAAGTGCTGTTCGGTGCTGCAGAGTTTGAATTTTCTAGGTCACCAAGGAACTTTAGTAACTCTGTCAAATTCCAATGAAGTGGAATTTGAAATCTGGAAAAGGGTGGAAATATAATCTAAAGGAAATTCATTATAGCATTGGTAGCAGGTGCCCGGCTAGCTCAGTCGGTAGAGCATGAGACTCTTAATCTCAGGGTCGTGGGTTCGAGCCCCACGTTGGGCGTTAATTCTTTACTTTTAAAACTTTAAATCTAGGAAGGCAGGATTAGTCATGTACCCGCGGGAAAATAAATCACGTGTGACAGCTGCGATATGCGATAGCCACATGACCCTATTATGACAAGATTAATGTTTTTGTTTTGGTAAAATATGCATCAAAAAAGTTCACTATTTTAACTCCCCCTTTTTTTTTTTTTTTTTTTTTTCGGTTTTTTGGTTTTTGTTTTTGGCAAACGGGCCTTGTGCATGCTAACTAACGATTCTATCTACCACTCCCTCCCCCAACTCTTATTTTAACTAGTTTTAATTGTACAATTATACAGCATTAAATATATTCATTGTGCTGTGAAGTCGCCACCATCATCCTTATCCAGATCTTTTTCATCTTTCTCAGCAGAATTTGTATTTCCCATTCCCCACTTTACCTAGACCTCAGCAACCACCATTCTGTCTGTATGAATTTGATTACTATAGAAAGAGTAATATTCGTCTTTGTCTTCAGTTTCCTTTCTTTGTGGTACTGGGTATTTAGCCCAGGGCCTTCTCACTGAGCCACATTCCTGCCCTCTTTTCATTTTGAGACAGAACGTGGGAAGTTGCTCAGCCACTGTCCAACTCTGGATCCTTCTTTCTCATACTCCTCCAGTCCTGGTTACAGGCCTGTGCCTTCACACCCGGGTAATACTGTATTTATTCTTTTTATAACTCTCTTCTCTTTTTGAAGACATGTAGGTCGGGCTCGTTTAGAACTAATAGCTCTAGCTGGCCTCGAACTTGTTTTTACCCTTCTATTT